GAGCAGAGTTAGCATTGAGGCTAACTTGGTTGTGCAACCCTTACTAAGGGAGCCCATTGTTCGCTTCGTCTTCTCTTTCCCAAGACCTAAGAAGGAAGTGGACTAGATAAAGGACTTTGGGGATAATACTTCTTCCTCTTCTTCTCCCTCCCTTTCTTTCCCTCGCTCCTGTATCCAGGGCACACTGACCCTGTCCACTGCTAACAAGGTGGGGGATGGAGTAGCAGAGGCTTTGGTGTTACCCTCACCCCGCCTGTATGTAAGCGTTACAGTGTAATGCCTGTAAGCCCAGGTGCTGTAACAACCCTAGACTGTTGAGCACATGGCTATTAAGCACTTCATCAGATTAGGAGAGACAGGTTAATATCCTTATTATGGAGCCCTAAATTTAGCTCATGCTCTGCAGCTGCTTAATTAGAGGATAACACAGGCCTCGTCCCGCACCCCCTTTTTGCGATCGGCCATGCCAGCGTGCCCTCAGACCCAGTTTCTCAGTTACTGAAGCTATTCAAGGGCTAATAGAGCTGATGTAGCTAAGCCTCAGTGCACAGGCCTACTGTGGTTAGGTTAGCTTAGGCTATTGGTTTACATGCTGTAACTAGGCTAGAATGGCTCTAACCTGGTGGGTTCCAATGCCAGACAGCAGGCATTCCATATTTATGTCTTATTCTATGCTTTAACAGAGCTGATTTACTTGTTAAGGGCTTTATAACATCCAGACAACTATAAGCAAGGAAAAAAACATTAAAATTCGCAGGTTGTGGGGTCCCTAGGGATTGAGAACCACTAGAAAGTATCAAAACAAGCTGTGACTAAGCCAGCTAAACTACCACCTATTAACTCACACTGTGTCATAAGTGTAGACTAGCTTTCATCCGCATGCACTGTTGTGGAAAGTTTAGGCTAGGCTAATTCACTTTGACTCCAAGTGGTTTGGCTATGCTAACAAATGGCTATAGTCCATGCCAGCATGTCCTCAGTTCCTCAGCTCCTGGAGCTGGGCAAGAGCTAACAGCTAAACATCATTCTGTGGTTAGGTTGGCTTAGGCTAATTGGCATCAACTTAAATGCTATAACTAAGCTAGAACCACGCTCATCTGGTGGTTCTCTATGCCAGACACCACGCATTCATGTCTGGTGTCTTTTTCCATGCTGGTTTACTTGTTAACACAAAAAGTGTGCAGATTGTAAGAGGCTGGATTGAGAACCACTGCAAAGCATCAACATAAACTGTGGCTAAGTTAATTCCTATTGTGTCTTCAGTGCGGACTAGCATTCATCAACGCATGCTGTTGTGGAACGTTTAGGCTAGGCTACTTTCCTTTGACTTCTAGTGTTTTGGCCATGCTAGCAAATGGCTAGCCTTCCCTTTTGAGATGAAGAAAGCAAGAGTAGGCCAAGACAGAGAAAGTTAGGGGCATCTGACAAGATATCCATGCATTAGCTAAAATATATCCAATGCTTCTGTCGGTGCGATGCTACCACAGACAGGCAGGACAGCTAGACTGTTATCACAAAGACATACGCACATTGTCATTTCAGTCTTTCAGAACACTCCAGCCCCACCCAAGCCTTATCTTTTCCTTTATCCTTCCTTCGCTTTTGTCTGTATGCAAATGTCTGTATGTCGATGATTCGCATTGCTTTTCATTTGCCTGCCACAAACCGTCCTGAAATCTCGCAGGCATTCACTTTGTTCCACTCCATAAATACTTTCTGTTTCCTCTGTAAACATGGCCTATTTGAATCTAATGAGCTTCAACTAGTCTTCCAAACTTAAAGGACTACTGCACACCAGATACAAAGTGCTGCTATACAATAAGGAATTGCAGCTAGAGCACCTTTAGCACGTCATTGTCTGTACACAACTGGCTTTACATGATGTTCACTGCATGTTCACATGTTTGAGAACCAACAAAATGCGAATGTAGGCCAAGTTTCAGCTGCCTCATCAGATGAGCTAATGCTGAAACTAATGCTAAAGCTAAAACTGGAGTTAGTCAGAGCTTCCAGAGATGCTGTTGTGAAATGTTAGGGTAGGCTAGTTCCCAAGTGAAAGAACCGTCGGTTCTACTACACTCAATTTAAAAACTTCCTCAAAATATACGTCTATAACCTGTTTGCAAATTTTTATTTAGAAGGTCACCTGTGGTGTCTGTTAAGCCTGCTAGGTGTAGGTGTCATCCATGGTGTAAATGCCTTGCAACACTTCATTACACGTTTTTATTAGTTATTATTTCTCACTTATAGCTCTTTGAAACAGGCAGAGAAACTCTGTGGAAAGTGCTGAGATCCCGAACATTCAATCCATGCCACATTTGTGACATTGAAACAAACTGGAATATGACCCTGTCAAAACAGAATGTAAATCAACTGCACATGTAATTTATTATATACATACTGTTTATAATTTAGTATATACATGGTGTGTAACCATGTAGTAAATATGTGTATAATGTGATGCAAATGCATAGCAATATCATTTCTACGAGTTAATGTACCTGGAGCATTTACCTGTCAAGTTTTTCGTCTACCTACGGGACTATTGGTTTGTTTAACTTGGACAGTGGTCATGCTGAGTAAAAGCACAAGAGAACAGTCATGTTTTTTTCACCATTTAATGAGAGTCATGTTCAAATTACATGATCCTTTACAAGATACAGAGTCACCCACAATCTTAATTCAGACAGAGAGGACTCCAGGACATACATAAACTGAACAAACACACGTATGTCCACTCTGCAAGCATGCATCCACATACTACAAATATTCTGGGTGCCAAGAGAAATATTTTTACAAACTGCTCCAGCCTTTCGATAGCTTTCAACATGCACGCTCGCTTACATCTGCACTCTTCACAGCATTAGAAACAAGGTCACTGCCGTAACCTTAGCGTCAAGCAGACATGTACAAAAATAGAGGAATCAGTAGAAAAATAAAAGAGACACGGATAAAGACAAAGGGAATGTCGCAAAGTGGTGTGCAGGTTCCATTAGAGATGCGCCAGTTTCAACACTCTCAATCGCAACCCATTAATAGCCTGGTTAAAGCAGCCGATTGTAGAGCTGATCACACATACGTTAGGCTTCCCTGTTGAGATCTGACCTTGTGGGATTAGAACGCTGAAGTGGGCTGTGACGTCATAGAGGGGGCAATAGAACCATCAGAATGTTGAACTAGGTTCTTTCATGCGTATTTGATGACTTCTTCAAAAAAAAACAAATTTCTGATATAGTTAAAAATAGGCTGTCCCCACAAAGTCGACTAATACAGCTAGTTATGAGATTCTTGGTCGACCAAGATTCTATCAGTCGACTAACTTTGCTTAATTTTTGTGTACTGATTTGTTTAGATTTACAAGTGAATTATAGTTTAAACTGTTGAAATACCCAGAAATGGAAGACCTCATAGCTATTTGCTAATAAAACATTTGAAATTTGTAGAGATAATTCCAGAAGGTGGAATGATGTACCACTTAAAAATGTGTCGTTGTTTTTCTGAAACTGGCTAGTTTTAAGTTCTGTAGCTCAACAGTTCACTACAATCCAATAGTCCTTTTAGTCGGAAATTGGGCCTTTTGGTCGACCAAGAAAGTCCTTAATAGGGGGAAAATTTCTTATACTTGGCATTTAAAAAGATACTGATTCTGTTAGTTGCATTCTCTCAGGTGCAGGAGAGGCCAGCATACTTTACTATCTGTGGATGTGGAGTTATTTATCTTACAGAGAAAAGAGGATGTGGCCAGCCTCTGTCATTGGAACCCACTTCCTTAATTTGCTGTCCTGTCCAGCCAGCGACCTAGCTTTCATTTTCTCCTTCAGCAGTAATGGCATTGGCCCCAGCGCCCTAATCTGAGCTTAGCCGGCTCCCAGGCCCCCTTGAGCCAACTGTACAGTAAGGTCAGGCCAGCGCAGGTGATTGTCTGTGAGTAACTCATACCCTGAACACACACACACACACACATACACATACACACACCTCACAGATCTCATTTGTGCAATAGATAACCGTTATTACTATTCCTCCCCGCTCTGTGGAAATAAGCACTCTTAAGTACTCTTAGAGGTGAAGCGCTCTCAGAGGGGAAAGTTTAGGTAGATCATAATCAACTGACCATTTGCAAAATTCTGACAGGCCCTCTACTCCTGACTTTGTCCGCCTCCTTTAGTGACTGCTGCTACCTTTGTTTCAGCAAAGACTACCTGGTACCATCCATAGCACTTGTGCTAAGAGGCTAAACAGTTCTTTAGTACAACGGAAACTTTACAAGTAGAGGAGTACCTCTGAAAACATTATTCAAAATAAAGTGACTTTACAAGATGTTCACTATTTGAGAATGTAGGCAAAGTTTGAGCTGCCCCTTCAGATAAGCTAATGCTAAAGCCAATGCTAAAGCTAACACTGGAGCTAATCAGAGCAATGTTACATGCTGAGGTCCTTTATATGAGGTCTTTTAACAAGGTATAATAAAACAGTAAAAATGACATTTGCATACATTTTTAACTGCAAATGTGAGCGCTGTACAGTCCTGTTTAATCTGACCTAAGTAAAGAAGAGCTAGCTTAATTAGCTAGCTGGTCTTAACATCGCTCTGTCATTAGACATCACATTAAACTCAGTGTTAGCAAGTACAGTAACCAAGATAAAGTTTAGCTCAGCTTAGAATCAGCACATTGCTGCCTGTTAATAGTTTGAGCTCTTCCACAGTTAATTTCAAAACGTTTACAGCTTCAGGAAGAAAATAAAAACAGCATCAACCTCAAGGTGACCAGGTTTGCCTGAACTTTTCACATCTCTTAGTCTATTAATTCTGACTAATATACTACCATCGATGTTCTCACTGAGGAGTTTTGTCAGATGACTGATTGGCTGAGAGGCATGTCATCATTATTTTGCAAATGGTCAATTCTCACAACATTCAACAACGTATTTGGCATAATTGTTTTTATTGTCGGAATTCCACTACGGTGCCCTCCAGTGATCAGTCAAATCCAGTCCAGTCAAATCAAATCAAATTTTAGTGCAATCTAAGATTTCATGATGTACAGAATTGTGATTATATCAAATCAAATAACTTTGAGGTCAGAGATTTCCACCCCCAAAATAATACCTTTTAGAAAATACAAAAAGAGACTGTTCCCTTATATTTACTTACTGTAGAATGAAAACACACACACGCACACACAAACACACTAAAATGAGTCCCTCCATCGTGTCCAGGGCAGCACCCCCATTCGATTCCCGAACTCGGGGGGTTTTGCTCTATAAATCTTGGTTGCATTTGATCTGTTGCAGGCACTTGGATAGTTACAGAATGTTAATAAAAACTGTTTCTTTTTCCAGCTATAACTGACATCTAAGAAAATATCTTTGGTTTTGTAAACAGTTTCGTCCCTGGTTATTCGACTGAGTCTCTGAATGATCTTTTCTTCTCTATCCCATCTGCCTTCACAACAACCTATGTGGTGGCAAGCCTTAATATATTTGTACATCTCTTCAAGTCTTTGTACAGGTCCTAAAAACAAAGCAAAACTAGAAAGAGAACTATCTCTCTCATTCTTCACCCGAATTCAGGTGACAGAATGAAATCTGAGCTCGGTCAAGCTCGAGATTGCGTGTTGTCATGATCGTTGCCTTTTAGCCTGTGTGGTGTTTCTCCAGGTTCGCCATACAGTCTCTGAACACCTGGGCACAGCATGACGTCCTCTGGGAACGAGGCCAAGTGACCTCTCTTCCTCCCTCCCTTCCTCCCCCACGTACGAGTAAGTCATGAGTTTTGCCGCCAGCATTGTGTGGCATCTTGACTTCTCCACATTTTCAACACAAAAAAAATAAAGAAATGTACATCTGTCACATCTCCGAAGCAAACGAAAGGTGGTCCGATCGGTCCTCGCAACTGTCCGTCATTATACACCAGCAGTCAAGAAGAATTGCTTAGTTGTTTTTGGTTATGATCACTGACATAGCAAAGAAATGAATGTAGGAAATGGACAACAAAGATTGCTAACTGATGCTAGTTTCTTGATGACAACCTAACACTGCGTTGTTACACCATTTTGTGTTTATCTTCTCTTAGATTTTCCAGTTTTTCCCACAAATTTTCAATGGGAATTGGTATGGAATTGTGCTGGCCATATGATCGAGTGAATTTTCACCTCAAACCACTCCCTGACCTGAAATGGTATGGCACGTTGCATTGTCGTGTTGAAATATACAGCTGTTGTTTGTGCTTTTACTTCTTTAAAACAATAGTAAGCCAAGCAAATGGTCTTCCAATGGGCCCCCATATTCATCTGTCTATCATTTCCCCTATTACACCAAAAGTAGCCTGTCGCCAAGACATCTGGTGTCTGACGTTTGGTTCTTTTCTGCACTGGAGGCTAATGGAGCTAATGGAGCTAACGGAAGTTTATAGCCTGCCAATTATTATTGTGCAAACAGTATGCCTATAATCACAAATTGGATTCAAACTGTCAAGTTACTTATGTGGTTTCTGACACTGTATAATGTACTGTTATCTATAAAAAGCCCCTTTTTGAGAATCACCTATCCCTACACATTATACTTAAACAGTGAACTGTGGTTGGTTATTTTACATATCAAACGGCCCGTTCCTGTTAAAGCAGGCAGTTTTTGGCAATGTTAAGGGGCGAAATGCACCAGACTCTGGTGATAGGTAGATCTTGGTGTAAAGAGCAAATTTGTGTACATCTGATTTTTGGCCAGACCATCACCTTGAGTTGACAGAATGGTAGGGGAGGTAGATCCCTTCAAGCATATGAAAAAAAAGTTTGTATACATCAATGCATAACATACATCTGAGCAATTCTTTTGACTGCCATCGTATACCTGATTGGTCTCAGTTGCAGGGCAGCCATGGGCAGAAGGTGTTTGAGGGCTGGCAAGTGTAAACCGGCTGCACCTGGGCCACGTAGTAGTTGCTGAAGTTGCCATCTGCAACGTACGGTGCCGGCTGGTAGTAGCAAGTGACGTTGGCCACGTTAGGGATGACGTTCTGCTCAGCCAGCACTCGCACAGCCAGCATGGTGATGAGGCTGAGGGCCTGTCGGCGCTCATGGCCCATCAGGCACACGGTGCTCTCGCTAACAACACCATGCAGCGTGCTCAGGTACTCGTACTTGCGCTCCTCCAGCCCCACGAAGTGGTTCTGCAGATACGACTCCAGCTTCCGCCGCTGCTCGGTCACGTCTGGGAAGTCGATGAAGAAACGCGAGCACATGTAGCGCTCCAGCTGCTTCATGTGTGGCTGCGAGGCGGCACGGAATCCCCTCACTAGCAGGTGGCAGTACTTGAGCAGGCCCCCACCGCGGATCTCCTCAGGGTTGCGCGTGCAGATGAGCTTGCAGCGAAGGTGCTCCAGGGCCTCCTCAAAGTCGCCGTACACACTCTCGCCCACGATGGACGGGTGGAAGGTCTCGGCCATGGGGTTCTCCGAGCACTCATAGAAGAGCAGCAGCGAGTCCAGGCGGATCTGGAAGGAGTCGACGCTGAACTCGAACTGACGCCTCAGAGAGTCCACGAACTTCAGCTCCACGTTCTTCCCGCTGTTATTGGACAGGGAGATGAGGCTCCAGCGGTCAGAATCGTTACAGACCTTCACCATCTTCTGAACGTAGGCCTCCTGCAAAGGGAGCGAGGAGTATGAGGGAAGGAAGAGACAGAGAGAAAAGGAATAAAAGGGAAAGAGAGAGAATGTGGAGCCAGAAATGGAGTAAGGAAGGAGGAAGGAGAAAGACAGAAGGGAGAAAAGGAGGACAGAGGAGAGAAAAGAAACAGAGAGACAAAAAGAGTTATATGTTATGTGATCAGTCACTTTATCTCTCGTTAACCCCACTGTTCACAACCTACTGCACCAAAAACATAACCACACCATCATCACCTTCACTGTAACTGCCATTGAAGAGATCAAAGCGAATCTGAGAGGCGAATACGAGAAGCTGCCGTAGATATTTTGACTACACTGTGTTCTTATCTCTCTGACACTGAAGGCTGCTGATAGGACTTCATGCTAGAAGAACATCAGTACAGTAACATGGGGAAAGATTGGAGAAGTGTGGGGGGGTTTAGAGGGGGCTTAGATCAGTGCTGTTCATTTTTAGGGATGGACAGATATGGGAGCTGTGGGCCGATGCAGATACCCAGTGTTTACATATTCAGTATATGTACAGTTGTATGCAAAAGTTTGGGCACCCATGTTGCTGTTGATTTTCTAAGTGTAAGTAAGTGAACTTTGCACAATACATAATATACAATCACTATTTATTGGCTGAATTTAACATATTTAAACAAAAATAAAACATAAAGCATGGCCGGTGCAAAAGTTATGGCACTTTCTATATTTTATGTTTGTTTTTTTCCCAATATATTATACAAAAGATCACTGCAATCTGGAGAAAACTGCAACAATTCAGTTAAAAATGATCAAAACATACTTTATTCAAAGTTCGAACACAGTAAAAAAAATATTTTCTAATATATCTTAGCACAGTAGCTCAGCATCACATAAACATTCTGCTCTTCTGAATATGTCATCAAATATCAGTCACATTAGTCAAATCGAAACATCTCTCCAATGCCGATCATTTTGATTTTAATTACATGAAAATGTAATTCTTACTTTCAAACTTAGCTAATGATGTTAAACCTCGTGAATTCTGTCCTGAACCCTAATTTTATGAATAATCATTTTAAAAGAATTACATTTTCGGTGTTTTTTCAGGTCCATTTGTGAAATCTGATGAAATATGACGTGCGTTAGGCCAGGAAAAGAGCGCTGAGGGTCACTGAGAGTCCAGCATGTTTTGCTGATTTCCCTGCTCTCCACCAACTTAATCTGGAAATTACCTGATGAGCTCAATAAACTGTGTTTAAGCAGGAAAATCTCCCAACTGTGCTGGACACTAACGCTTCAGGACCGGACTTCCCCACCCCTGCATTAGGAGGATGACCCCAACAGAGCAAAGAATAAAAGACTATCTACAAGTTTTGTCACTTTTTTTCTGAAGAACTTTACATATGCTTACTCTTTCCATCATTTTCTAAATTTCAGATTTTCGAACATGTTTAAAATTCACTCTGCGCAAGAACCTAAGCTGAGAAGTGAAAGCGACGGCGTGGAGGGGGCTTTAAAAAGAGGGAAGACAGGACAGAAAGACACAGAAAACAACCTGTTATTGTGGTCTGTTTTCAGAACATCCCGCTCATGCTTCGCTTTCAGTTCCCCAAAACAAAGTCACGTTGCCTAGTGTTTGTATTCAGTGGACGGAAATAATCTTTCACAGCAAACATACTGGAGTAGCGTGAACACCTACAGTGTTCAGCTGGACACCAGTGAATTCCACACCCTGTCCAGTTAAAGGCTAAAGCCACAGACGCATTAGCATACCCACACGTTCCGTTTCATTTTTTTTGCATACGCCGTACAGGCGTAGATAAAGACTTCACGAAGCGTCCATAAAACGTAGCTCTATCTACCCTAATTTGCACTCATGAAAAAGTGCCGTCCAGCGGGCAGCGCGAGGTGAAAGCGGATCGGTTGTAAATTGGTTTAGAGTAAATCCTCTTTGTACTAGAAACCAGCGTTTTTACTACCAGCGGCTTAAACCCCCAAACACTTTCTGATAGGGCTGGGCTGCAAGTGTCAATGTCAGGCTACAGAGTGCTTAGCACTGAGACTATCACTGTAGACTCAGGAGCTCTCAGAACCCACAAAAACTGACCAACACAAGGAGGAAAAATGGTGGAACACTCTGTTAATGATCTTAGAAAGCATGCATGAAATTATCTCGAAGGAAAACCAGCTATAAGTGATGCTATCAACTTTCATAAAATAAGCCTTCCGGTTTTTAAGTAAGCTAAGCTAACAACTATTATGATGAGCTAACAGCTTTAATAAATATAACTTTAATAAAGTACAGCCAACCATTTTTAAGGTAAGCTGGAAGCTTTTATATAGTAATTTTGAAGTAGCTAACAGCTTTAATAAATAAGGCTGGCAGCTTTAATACAGTATGGCCAACCATTTTACAGATAAGCTAGCAGCTTTAATACAGTCATTTCAAAGCTAATAGTTAATAAATTGGTCTAATAACTTTAATAAAGTACAGTTTTCCATTTTGAAGATAGGCTAAAAGATTTAATACAGTAATTTTAAAATAAGATAAGCTAATAAATTGGGCTAATAACTTTAACAAACTACAGCTAACCATGTTTAAGATAAGCCAACAGCTTTAATGAAGAATGCTAATAGCTTTTAACACAGTACAGCTAACCATTTGAAGATGAGCTAGCAGCTTTAATGCAGTGATTTTAAAGTAAGATAACGGATTTCATAAATAAGGCTAATAGCTTTAATACAGTATGGCTAACCATTGTTAAGACAGTCCAACAGCTTTAATTAAATAGGACTATGCATTTTAAAGTAAGATAAGCAATAACAGCTTTATAAGGCTAACATTTTACAGCTAAAATAACACTTAAGAACGTTAGGCGAAGAATTTTACTACAGAAAAACGGAACAGTTGACCTGCCATCAATGTTAAACCTGTATGTGAGATACTGTTTGATACACTACTGAAAAAAACTTGCTGTCTTAAGTTTTTTTTTTTTTATTATGTAATAAATTCAATTTTGGTCAATGATACCATTCAAACTTGCTCACTAACATGCAAATGAGTGTGTCAACGACAGCACCCCCCATTAGGAGTGCACTCTTTAGTGCAGTGTAGTACAGTACAGTACTGAGTGGTTCTAGATACAGATGTACCATCATCAGTAACTTCATTATTATTATTTAGTGTGGGGAATTAAATTATCCATCGCAACACACAGCAACACTGCAGACTGCGGTTCTCTCTCTGGATGAGGACAGGAACCAAGCCCATGTTCTCCACTTATTGGAACCCAAGCAGTTAGAAGACAGGGGTTCCGCTATAGGGCTATAGGGAAAGTCAGTAACAATAGATACTTCTGAAACTTAAGACCTGAAGACCTGACGTATCCAGCAGAAGAGCTCTGATTGGACCATAAGGAGGACGGTTCCTCTGATTTGGTGCAAAACAGATTCATAAATGAAAACTTAATGAAGATTTTAGAAACTCTCAAAGTTAAACTGCTGTTTGGAATCTGAAGCGCTGGCTTAAAAATAAAGGTGCTAAATGGAACAAACAGGGTTCTTTGGGGTGATGAACCACTGGAAGAACCACTTTTGGATCTCTAAAGAACCTTTCATCTGATGGATTTGAAGAAAATCTTAAGAGATCCAAATGAAATGTTCTTTCAATAGTGTTTCAAAAGTGGATCTCTAAAGAACCCTTTATTTGGATCTCTAAAGATTCTCTAAAGAACATTTTAACTGGTGGATCTGTAAAGAATCTTTAGAAATCCAACAGTAAAGTTCTTTAAAGATTCAAAAATGGATCTTTACAAAACCCTTCATTTGGATCTCTAAAGATTCTCTAAAGAACCATTTAGTTGGTGGATCTGTAGAGAATCTTTAGAGATCCACCAATTGAAAGGTTCTTTAGAGATTCAAAAGTGGATGTCTAAAGAACATTTCATTTGGATCTCTAAAGATTGCCTGCAGAACCTTCCAGTTGGTGGATCTAAAGAGAATCTGTAGAGATACAACTGAAAGGTTCTTTAAAGATTCAAAAGTGGATCTCTAAAGAACCTTTTAATCGGTGGGTCTTTGGAGAAGCCCTTTTTTTGTGAAGAACCTTTCTGAAGTTTGAAGAACCTCCACATTATATAAAGGTTCTTCACTGATTACTGTTTCTCCGAGAACCGCACCAAAGAACCCTTTAGGAACCCTTATTTTTAACCGTTTAACCGTCACTCTGTAACGGTCAGTTCGTCTAACGGACACATTTTTAAACTGAAAATTCAAATTTCAAACGGCGTCGCGCGCCGTTGATCACCTTCAGCGTGAGCGGCGTGATCTTCTCCTTGTTGACTCCGGCGGGCAGGAAGTCCAGCAGCGAGTGCAGCACGATCTCCTTCACCGTCTGGAACTCGCGCTCGCCCTTCAGGTCCGCGCGGAAGATCAGGTCCAGGTCCTTGTAGCCGAGCCCGCTGTCCTCGTGCAGCACATGGCTCGCCGCCGAGCCGTTCAGGCGCACCTCGCGCACGTCGATGTGCCGCTCCCGCAGGCGCGCGCGCACCACCCGCACGATGTCGCGCGGCCTCATGTGCAGCGTGGGGAAGTTCCAGCGGCCGTGGATGGGGATGGACTCCGCGAGCAGCGCGTCCAGCCTGCGCACCTGCTCCCAGCTCAGCACGCTCAGGCTCCCGCTCGAGCCCTCCGCCATCGCTCGCTCGCTCGCTCGCGCTCTACACTTTCAGGGACGGGGCTTCAGCCATTGCCTGCAGAAACGGGCGCGCGCGTCAGGCCATCAGACATAGTTATCAATGTTGTTTTACATGTTGGAAGTGCTGCTGGTCGTCCGCGCGCTCGCTTCGTTCGTGCTCGTGCGCTCACGATGCTGGGCACTGCGGGGGTCTCGCGACTCTCCCTTCCCGGGGGGGCCGCGAGGGTTCACTCACAGCCCCGCGAGCGGATGCATAACGAGGTTCAGTTCAGTTTACGGGTGGTCTTCTTGCAGCGGCGCGAGGCGCTGTGCGCGCCCTTCGGCTACAGCAGAAGAGTGGAGGATCAGGGTGGCTCGTGCGCTGCACGGGAGTTTCCTCTCTCTCTCTCTCTCTCTCTCTCTCTCTCTCTCTCTCTCTCCACGCACCGCCCTTCACGCGCCGCCTGCTGCTCTGAACTTGAAGTCAGCGATGGTTTCTCAGTAAACACTTGCACGTCTGCGTAGGGGTGCGTGCGCGCGCGAGCGCGAGCATGCATGCGTACGGGGGGTCCCATTCCAGCCCCTGATCTTTTAAGTCTCCTCGATTCAAATGTGGCGCGTGCATAAACATAAACACAGTTACTGACAGAAGAAGTGAATTGAAAGAGAGCAGCGGTGTTTGTTTGGTTCATGTTCTCTAATGAACCCACCAGAACAGGGGGGGCGCGTGTTCAGGGGTCCCCAGTCCAAGTCCTGGAGATCCACCACCCTGGAGAGCTCAGATCCAGCACACCTGGTTCTAATGCCCCTGAAGATCCCCATTATCTGGATCAGGTGTGCTAGATTTGGGTTTGAGCTGAACCCTGCAGGGTGGTGGATCTCCAGGAGCAGGACAAAACACCCCTGGGTAGAACATAAACATGGTAGAACATATGTTAGAAGTTAGAACATTAAGCAAAGTATGCAGGACAGGAGGTTCCACACTGAAAAAAGTGCATTGAATTGAATTGAGTGAAAAAGATGGTTCTTCAGGGGTTCTCTAGTAAAGGGAATGGGCATGAGTGGCCATTTCATGGTTCTTTGCATGGTGAAATGGTTCTTCAGATTGATGGAGAATGAGTTGTACATGGTTCTATATGGAACTTTTTGAAAATGGTTCTAGATAGCACCAAAAAGTGTTCTACTGATAAAAGCTTGACATCGTAACAATAGCAGAACTGCTTTTTGGTGCTATGTAGAACCATGAGGCCTGCAACACATCTATATCCATCAATCTGAAGAACCGTTTCACCATGCAAAGAACCATGAAATTGTTCTATGTAGATCTCACAGTCACTCATGCCCATTCCCTTTACTAGAGAACCCTTGAAGAACCATCTTTTTTAGGATTGCACAGTATAACATTGGAAATTGTGCATTTTGGTCAGTTAAATTTGGTACACCTTTTCAGTGTGGAACCCCCTGTCCTGCATATTTTGTTTACAAAATATGGTTCTTCAAGGGTTCTCTAGTAAAGGAAATGGGCATGAGTGACCATGACTCCTAAAAAACTCATGGTTCTTTGCATGGTGAAATTGTTCTTCAGATTGATGGAGAGTGTGTTATATATGGTTCTATATAAAACTTTTGAAAATGGTTCTAGATAGCAACAAAAAGCGTTCTGCTGATATAAGCTTCACATCATAACAATATCAGAGCCCTTTTTGGTGCTATATAGAACCATGTAGCCCACATGCAAAGAACCATTTAAGCATGAAAGTGTTCTTTTAGAACTCAAGGTTCCATTGCCCTTTACTAAAGAACCCTTGCAGAACCATCTTTTTAAAGAGTGTATTAAGAATGTCCCTTTGTCAAATGTAAGCTGAAAGACATTGTGCTGATGTAGTACGTTTTATTCACATGAAAATTAGGTATCTAGTACTTTCCAGGTCTGGGAACAAGTATCTTACCTGATGGTTCTCAGAAGAAGTCAGAACTTCCTAAACAGCCTGAATTTGGCCACCTAAACGCCAGTTCTCCACAGTGGTGTGCTTCAATGCTGCGCTCTACAGGACGCCAGCGGTACTGCAACACAAGCAGAGCTACAAGTGTTGTTGGCCTATCGATTCAGTAATGTACACCATTAAAAAAGATGGTTCTTCAAGGGTTCTTTGGTCAAGACATGGTTCTATATAGAAATATGAACACTCAAGGAACCATTTGCATGCTTAAATGCTTCTTTGCATGGTGAAATGGTTCTTTAGATTGATGGAGAATGTGAAGGGTTCTATATAGCTCCAAAGTGGGGTCTGCTATAGCTACAATGTCAACCTTGTAACCCTTTTTGGTGCTGTATAGAATGATTTTCAGAAGGGTTCTATAGAGAACCATACACAGCATCAATCTGAAGAACCATTTTCCCATGCAATGAAGCATCCAAATGGTTCGTTAAGTGTTCATGGTTCTATATAAAACTGCTGTCTTTACCAGAGAACCCATGAAGAACCATTTCCCCATGCAAAGAAGCATCCAAATGGTTCGTTGGGTGTTCACGGTTCTATTTAGAATTGTTGTTCTTCAGATTCATGGAGAATGTGAAGGGTTCTATATAGTACCCAAATGGGGTCTGCTATATTTACGATATCAAGCCTGTAACCATTTTTGGAAGGGTTCTATAGAGAACCATATTAAGCATCAATCTGTAGAACCACTTCACCATGCAAAGAAAGATGCAAAAGGTTCATTGAGTGTTCGTAGAAAGTGAATGAGTAGAAAGTAGATTATGGCCCAATCCCATTTCACCCCTCGCCCCTACCACGTCTAGGGGTAGGGTGTCTGATTCTTGTTGAGATAGAGGGGGAGGGTGAAGTGTTGGGGCTACATGACCCTCCAAACAGAGGTTTTTCAGAGACTCCAAACAGAGAGATATGAAAAAAAAGAAAAACTACCAAGACGGCTGAACAAGAGACCAAAGAAACCCACAAATGTGAGAATTTTCTCTGTTAAAAATCACGATAATCACTGTATTTTCTTAGTTTAATGTCGTTTCAGTGTATTTTGGTCGTTTTCATCATAACAAGCACAAAAATCACTAACAGCATACTAATGTCTCGATAGCTAGCTGGCTAAATTTCCCGTTCCACCTTAAATAGTCCAGCAGTTCTGATGAGTGAAGTGCCAGAATGTAACTGCTGCACCATTTAAGGTGGAACAGGAAAATTTGAACAAGAACCTGGTGAATATCTGACTTCAGCTTCATATCACTGAAGAATTAGGGGTGGGTGATAATAAATAATTGCCCCCCCCCTTTGAAGTCATATGATGCCCTAAATGTAACTAAAGCCCAGCAGTGAGGAGCTGAACTTTACCCTCCTCTGCTGTCACTGCAGACTGGCAGGGTCGCCTACAGAGCAGCGCTGGTAGCTGTTAATGAAGTGATGCTCTTTTTATTTGAGGGTCCCATTTTGTAGGCAAGATTTCAACCACTACCCTGTAACTCAGCTCCAATGGGCAAAGTCACACTCAAAAACAAGGGGTAGGGGTAAAGAGAAGAGATGGGGCTAAGACACACACTTCTGCACACTTTAATACACAATTACTTTAGTTTATTTGCTGAATTTAACACATTGGAAAACCAATAAGACATAAAAACGTGGCCTGTGCGAAAGTTATGGCACATTTTACATTGTATGTTTTATATTTTCCCCCAGTATGTTAAACTAGAAACAGGAATCGTGTATTAAAATGTGCGGGAGTGTGTCTCTGTAGAGGACGTGCTCATTTATTCACACTTAGAACATCAACAACAACATGGAATCTGACCTGAGCTCTTGCACAGAGACTGTAGGGGCACTTTGTAGGTGTTCAGTTCGAAATCGTAGCCAAGCTGCTGCTGCACAGTTTATGAGAGTATATCATCAGATTGGACTTTGCCTGAATGCCTTGACCTCCACTGTGTACGTGATTAACACTCTTAGAAACGCAGGCCGGACAGAATTAGGTCACTTTATACAGAGCGTTTCTCCAGGTCATTGCTCCAAATTAACCTACCTGCTTAAATAAAGGTGACGAACGAATGAATTCTTAGGTTTTTCTTCACTACTATTTCTGTCCTTCTGTATCCTGCCTTCCGCCCGATGACAGCTGGGATAGGCTCCAGCACCCCACTGCGACCCAGAAGGATAAGCGGTTTAGATGATGTATGTATGACATAATCAAAAATCAGAACAGAATTTAGAGGCGGGGCAAAATGAAAGTACGAAAAGTATGAATCGGGGCTTAAAATGAACAGGAACACAGACTAACAAGATAAAAACTCACATCATTTTAAACACTAGGTTTTAGGTTGGGATGCTGAAACTGTATTAAAATGCTACTGAGCCCAAATCAGACAAATATTTATAGAGTAATCTTTTTGCTATCAGAGGAACGACACAGTCTCACTATCTAATATAAAAATACAGATGAAAAATGGCTTGTGGTCAGTAAAAGACGATTACATTATGTGAAAATACTAAAGAGCAGGCACTTCATTTGCCTGAATTTCCTCCTGCACTGGAAGACAACGGTTAGAAATGGACTAACTAATAACTACAACATAATACAACAGAAGGTCCATTGATTTTCTTTCTTACCATTGTGTGAAATATAGGTTAGAGCTAATTAGAGCATGTGTAATTATGTCACAGCCTGAGCGAGAGTGACTAACTGTGATTAATGACCCTAATAACCCAACCCAGCATCCGCAAAAGGCCTGAGCTAATCTCCTCCCGCTCCGCTGACTTCAAATCCGTGTTGGATGTGCTCTTATTTGTTATGCACTGCCAGCTGTCGGAACAAAACCTTGTATCTCCAAAATGGTGACTTTACAGGAGAAGGAAAAAACTTACTCTGCTTTCAGTGGAAGTCAATGGAACCAGACGTCTTTCCAAGTGATTTTGTGTCATTTCTTTTGGTCCATTCATCATGAAATTAACAAACAATGTAAAGGACAACAGGTATTTTCAAATTATGACAAAAACTGAAAAATGACAAAAATGGAGATCTCTGTCCAACTCTCCTAGCTCCGCCCCCATTCAGACCTAAAATCATTATCCAGCTTTTTTGTTGCAGTGACTGGACGAAAAAAGTCAGGTGGACGGATGGACACACAAACAAATGGACAGACATGGCAACGCACGGACAGTTGTGCAGATGGACATACAGACATATGAACAAAAGAGTGGACAAAGCAATGAGTGAATGGAGGGATGGAGGAGTGAACAGTGTCCATGTATGGATAAATGAATGTGGTCTCTCTTGCTAGCGTTTGGTTATGCTGGGCTGGCTTTAGCTTGCTAAGCTTCTCTTACTCTGAAGCTGTTTTGTGTGGGCGGGGCAAAAGACATCAGCCTTGTGATTGGCCAGGGGGATGCTCACGGAAGCGTTGCCCAAGACTATCACAAG